TCAAACGATTCAATCTTGCTCAATGGAATGCTATAAACTCATTCTAACTATAAAACTGCGTCTGTATAGACGATTTAGATTTTTTGTAAACCAACAATTTGGTATTTTTCGTTCTGAAACACAGAAGATTGAAAAATTGTCTCACAAAACTTCCAAATTAATTGCAAATCATGAATGCCAAAAAAGGAGCTTGGCGCAATTGCTTACTTTTGCGGACAATAAAAAAAGATCAACAACATTGATTACATAACAAAAAAGTAACAGTAGCAATGAGTGCCCGATGAATTGTTTCGAATTGTATGTGGAGAATATGATGCACAAACACAGTAGGTTAAAACCTTCAGAACGCAATGGAAATATGATTGAATGTAATTGTTCAGCTAGTTTTCGAATCGCCAAATAAAATACTTTTTCTTACTACAAGTATATAAACTCATTAAACATGCAAATGACAGAATTATTTATATTTTATTTGGCGATTCGAAAACTAGCTGAAAAATTACATTCAATCATATTTACATTGCGTTCTTTTCAGTTTTCAAAGAAAATGAAAAAAAATGTAGGTTCTACGGTCTACGCAGAAACATTATTGAACTAAAACTCACTTAGCCATTGCGTATCACAAACACTTCTTTTTATAGATTTGGAAATTTTCTTCAGGCACTTTTCAAAGTCACTTTATTTTCGTTTCGATGTTTATTTATTTTGCGATATTTATTTTATTTTGAAATGATTTCAACGCGGAATATAACAGCAAATTGTTTACGTGAATATGAATTCGCCGGTCTATTGTTTTACAGTGAGAATTTGAGTACAGAGGATACTTGATGTAAACAAACAAATACATGTAAAAATCATATGGAATCATATGAAACCGAACAACGCGAGTGACTGAACGACGAGACACATTCACACACGACGCGATTCGTTCTGTGTGAAAGAAAGAGAACAAGAGATAGACAAACGAAAGAGATGTACCATATACACCGCGTAGCCGCAAGTACATTGCGCGTGTATGGGACCGTCTCATACATGCGCGACATGCGTGCGGTGTGTATTCATGCGGTGTGTATGGTACATCTCTTTCGTTTGTCTATTTCTTGTTCTCTTTCTTTCACACAGAACGAATCGCGTCGTGTGTGAATGTGTCTCGTCGTTCGGTCACTCGCGTCGTTTGGTTAAATGTATTTGTATTGACTTATTGACTGTTTCTATATCCAGCCTGTATTGATGTGTTCATAGGAAATAAACACGCAAAATTGGCAAATTAAGTCATTGAATCGTATGAAAAATTATACTCCTTTTTGAAAAGAGATTCTGGTGATGATTCGACTCCGTATGCAAGTCAAGTATTTAACTATAATTAAATAGCTAAAATTGTTTTGAACTTAAAACAATAATGTCAACAAACTTCAAGCAACAATTACTCTAGGCAAGAAATATGTGATGGTTTTATCGGTCAAACAACGCAGAGCGCATACATGAATTTGAAAAGAATAAATAACGTAATTTTGCCTTCGATTATGATTCCGGAATTGAAATGCGAACAATATTTCAACAATTTCCAAGTGCAAATTAGATAAATCAACGCAACATTTAAAGATAGCGTAAAATTGTTTGCATTTTGTTGCACTTTATCGTGTGAATTGTAAGTGCCATTCAATTGCCCGCTTTGTGAATGAAAAATCCATAGGAATCTCACTTAATGCAATACACAATTCCTTCGTTCATTTCTTTTTATTGCCTCACCGAGATATCTTATTACTTCGTATATTCTACGGAATTTGACACCAAAAAATATCTCGCAACTCGAGCCATTTGTTTGTTACGCGATTTTCGGTATAAATTGCAATCGAGAGAAGTACTCTTACTTTTTTCTGTACAATTTCCACCAAATCTTCATTTTTCTCGACGCTATTTGAATAAGAAACGGCGATTATAATTATGCGATTTTTTCCCCATTTTCTATTGAATGTCTGAAGTTTTCGTCGAATTTACTGTGGCTTTCCTGACACCGGTAATCCTAGATTCAACGATTAAATATTTATCTTTTCATTTTAGTTAAAAATTTATATCCTTTTTTGCAGTAATTTTGCCGAATTTGTGAACTTCATTAATTTTGGTAACAGATACAAAAACAATTGCTTCTATTATTTCGATCAATTATATTTTTATTACTGCAATTAAAAGTGTGAAAAGAATACTTTGTCTATCAATTCATTAGTTGATACTACTATCTCGATGCAATTTTCGAAAAGAAAATTTAGAAAATAAGAGGATATATCAATCGAAATAGTTTTTTTTTCGATTGCATTTTCTGATCAATTGATTGAATTCAGCGGCGAACTAAATAGATACATAAAAGAAGCAAAGATTGAAAATCTTTTATCGATAACGAAGAAAAAAAGAGCCGTAAGTAGCACTATGTTTGTAGCTGAAATTGATCCATGAATATTAATTATGACACTGTCTTGTTGCTTCTTCGCACATTTACACTCCCTTTTTTGACTGCTGCTGCTGCTGCTGCATCATTAAATTTCGCCGATGTTATAAATAGATGCATAGGTTTTTTTATTCATTTTTTTACTTCGACGCTCGCGCGCGTTTGCCAATGAGACTGGTAAAACTAACACAAAGCGGTGGCAAAAGGGAAGCAGAAGAAGAAGGAAAAACGCATCGTATCAAATAATAAATGTGCATTGAAATTCGATTCTAAAATGCAGAAACCCAACGCATAATGAGAATCACGGCCAACGAATGCGTGCAGCATTTTTAAGTAATGAATATCTAATTGTATTTTCTTGTTGCCTCTTCTCAACAAGGGAGAAGAACCAGCGAAATATTTCATGCGGTAATATTAGAAATATTTCATCCCGTGCTCCACAATTTTTTTTAATCATTCCGTTTGGTCCGAATTCGTTGGTGAATTTAATTGCAGAGATTCAACTCCTTCATTCCTTTCTTCCTTTTACGAGCCATAAATGCAAATGATTTTAACACTTGATGATGCTCATCTCTTCTTCTGTTTTATTATTGTATTTTATCATTCGCGATTCACTTGCTCAGTTTTATGTTTGGTCCGTTCTTCAGCCAAGCTAAAACACATCGGTGCGATCATCGAATGCATAAAAATCAACATATCAATAACGCGTAGAGAAATGAAGAGAAGAAGAAGCAAAAAATAAAGAAGCAATAGTTCGCTTACGATTGAATTGCAAATACTTGAATTGAAAATGCTTAAGAGATTTTGTGTGAAGTGTTTTGTGTTTCAAGTAGAGAGAAACTTCTGATGATGACAAAAAAACATTCAATGCCAACCGTCATTTCCTTCATATTTTGTTGTTGCTAATGTGCTCATTTGAATTACTAACACAAACAATTGATGTTTGCGAACCACTAACACCATTAGGCAAAGAATATCTAAATCTTTTGATTTGAATCATTTTTTCCTCGACCAAAGCGTGTAAACCAACAAATTACCCTATGTCTTATCATTCCTGAAACGTGAGAAAACTCATCTTTCGAATCAAAACTCATCTCTCATTTTTTATCCGTTTTTAAGGAGCCGATAAAATTGAATCCGAATTTCAGGTGTGTTTCGAGAAAACAACAATTGAGACGTCGATAATTCATAAACTTCAGGTAGAATTTATATGGCTGTAAGCCAATGAAAAAGTTTGTGGTAGCAAATAATTGTTGAAAATTATACAAAAATTGGATTTTATATCTATTTGTCTCAAATGATATTGAGTTTTGTGTACAAAGAATTAAATATTCAATCGGGATTTGAAACTAGGCTTTTTTGCTTTGCGATTTACACGACATCGACAGTATCGTTGATGAATATTTTTTTGCTTTGTTTGATCTACGCTTGTAATTCCGCCTAAGTAGAAATGCTAAGTAAAAGTTGCTCTCGCTCTCTAATGATCATGCAAATAATGCAATTGTCGGATGAACAAATCGCAATGCTATTGCTAGAGCAATGCGCCGCAGCACACATTCATCGTTGGCAATGCAAAAACAATCACAACTACTCTGTGCAGAAGGCTGAGATAGAAGTAATATAGTTGATTCAGTTGACACATTATTTGTATATATTGACATAAAATTCATTTATTACTTGATTTCAGATATTCTGGCTGATGATTGTTTTTGGAAACTCAACTTATTTTATCGCAAATTGATATATAAAAAACACGTTAAAAACAATAAAACCAATGGAAAATGAAGCAAACAATTGAATATTCTAATAGTTGGGAGTTTTGATAGCCGTCGAGTTTTTTTTCAATATGACTGGCTTCTTCTGTCCAGAGTAAATTTAATTTTCAATACTGAAAATAAATTTGTTGTGTCCTCGATACTAGCATCGATTAGGTTCCATTTAAATGATTTGGCCACGCTGCGATTCCACAAATATTTCGTTGTTTGATGTCCTTTGCCCTTTGGCATGGAATATCTACATATGAAAATAATAACAATCAGAAGTGAAATGTTTCACTTGAAACATAGAAAAACTTGTTCACAATTTCATTTCTTTCACAAATTCATTTATTTGTCAGTTGATTTTTACGACACATTGAAATTTCATTCACTGTCTTCAAGTATTCCGGGGCTTTTTTTTGCTTTTTTTGTCAATACCTCTTCTTCATCAGTTGAACGTCGGCGTTTCACCCCCTTTTCCCTAACGTATTTAAAATAGTTTTGAAGGTACTCCTCGTTCTTGATGAAGCTGTATGATCGGTCCGCCCTATAAACGACATTGAATATGAGGCGAACCGTTGCCTGGTATTTCACGAATGCTGGTCTGCGAGGAATATTCCTATTTTTGGACATTCCGGTAAAAGAAAACGACTGAAGTAAACTGATATCGAAACAGTGCTTCATCATGTAATCGGCAACTTTGCGGTATTTACCCGTTCCGGTTGTACCACCGATTCGTGACAGAGAGCGAATCTAACAACATTTGAAAAAGAAATATAACGAACTGTGTATTGTGTAAATTTATGGAAAATATTTACCAGATTTTTTCGAAAATCGTTGTCTTTTTGCAACCTATTTTCCAACATCTGCAATTCGTCAAGGTTTTCAAGCGGAAAGATTTCTTCGCCGTCATCTTCAAGTGAGTCACGCCTTTTTTTTGAAATTTCCAAATTCTTGATGGCGTTTTGAATTTCACTGACTGATTTTTGAAGATCAGCGAAATCTTCTTTTGAAAATGAATCTTCTTGCTCCATTTCAATATCTGCAACTGACTCACTTGCAATTGACACGACAAATTTGAATTTGAATTTGATGTATACTTTGATGAAAACATTATAACTATCTTTTCAAATTTGAATTTAGAAGCACGAATCAAACAAACGTGATGGGAAAAGTGCACTGTTTCGATATCAATTTACTTCAGTCGTTTTCTTTTACCGGAATGTCCAAAAATAGGGATATTCCCCGCAAACCAGCATTCGTGAAATGCCAAGCAAACGTTCTGATCGGAATGAACGTTTGAGGAGCACTCTTAAAGAAAGTGTATGATCCACTATTTATAAGAAGGCAACGAAAAAATCGCCAAGGTTAAAGTTTGTTCAACTTCATTCCCATTAGCTAGCTATCAACCATAATTTCAAGTCACTAAGTGATTTTGAATTGTGGTTTTTTGCATCATTTTCATTTAAATAAAGATCTTATCGATTCAAAGAAATGACATAGATAGAGTTAATTTTAGACTTGCTTTACGTCTGCAAAAGTTGTTTTTGGTTGATACGAATGATCTCATATGGGCCAAAATCTGAAACTCTCACGTTCAATTTTTCATTTTTTGTCAAACAAATGGTTGTAACGTCACACAACTCTGAAATTAAATGTGTTTGTTGTTTCGAAAGAGATATATTGCATTGCCATATTTTTTGCAGAAAAGAATGAGACATCACAGTTTTGAAATGTTTGCCCATGTGTTGAAAGTTGTTTACATATTTGAAAAAAATATTTAACGCGAATATACTCAAACAATAAAACCGGTATAGTAAAGAATGTATAATTTATTGCAAGCCCAAGCGCAACAGAGAGTCGATGGAAGGGAAAAAACGTATAATTCTATGACATCCATTGCATCCAATTTGTCTCGTACTTTAGATATTTTTTCAAGTCTATGCAACGGAAAGTCGCTAACATCGAAATTAAAATCGTAGTTTGCTCTGTATGATTTTGGCATAATATATTTTGACAATTAAATTCAATTTATCATCAAAACTCGAATTGTTTTGAACAAATTTCTCTCGTTTATTTGTGCTTTTTTGGTGGATGAATTGTGTAATTTTGTAATGAATGATGAAATTCCTTACTCTTCATGGCAAGACCCACACAAGGTAAAAAAAATCTCTAATTAAGGATAAAATGTATCCTTATCGTTTTATTTATTCCTTTTTGTATTCTTTAGAATCTTGGCGCACGTGAGCGACCAACTTATTACTATTTAATCGGTGATTGTATTGATTCCTTTGGACAACAATTGCCAACCGAACTGGACGTCATAAAACTCTACTGTTTTAAATGGAACTTAAACGAATCTGATGCTGATAAAATCACCTGGGTCGTAGATTCTATTGAAACAATATGGAGACAAGCTGGAATTCCAGCAAGAGCAACTTCAAGCATTCGACTGAAATTCAAAAATTTGGTAGCAGAATTTAAATCTATTCTAAATACTCGCCGACGAAGCACTTTGATACAAGTGAAAAAAGAAAATGCATTCCTTCAGAAAAGTGGTCGATTATTTGATGTAGTGAAACAGAACTCCGAAATGAAATTATCCAATTTGAAAATGCTGTTTCTGTACAATCAACGAAATAGCAGGACTCAAAATATATGTGACATGAATTTAAGCGAAATCCACTCAGAACTTGATGATAATAATTTCAGTGAAAATTCCATTGTCTCCGGTCGAAATACTGATAGTGAATTTGATAGTGAAAGTGATACTAATTCTCACGAAATTGATTACGATTATTCCGAAAGTAACAGTGATGAAGAATATTATCCTTCGAGCTCTGAAGAAGAACCGCCTCCAAAAAAAAAATTAAAGCAATCAACGATCGAAATGTTGGATAGCGCGAATCTAAGCTACAGGCAGATGAACCTTGCTGCCAAAGCATTCATCAAAGAGTTTGGTGATGAACCAAGTGACTATTGTATAGGTAGTTCCACATTTCATTCTAATTCTACCAAAATTCGAAATATTCACATCGAAAATATTTCCGAAAAAATAAAAAACGGTAATTCGAAGTTAGTTCTGTTATTCGACACAAAAACTTGTACTCAATTGAACGCGGTTCATTTGCCCAGGGAAAAACGATTTGCGATAGTTGTGCATAGTGAAAAATGTCATTTTGGGCTTGGAATTAGTTGTGTTGATGACAGTACCGCTGACACTTTATGTGATAAGCTGAAATGTGCTGCTACTGAATTCAATTTAATTCATCGTCTAATAGGACTCGTCTCCGACACCGAAAATACAAACCTTGGTCATTTAGGTGGGACATGTGTAAAGTTCGAGAGGGAAATTCAGAAAGAACTTTTGCGGCTTTGTTGTCGCCATCACGTATTGGAGTTAGTATTGAAAAAAGTTAGTCAAAACTTACTTCAAAGCAAAACACCTGAATTCAGCTTTGAAGGTTCTACGGAAATAAAAAATAAATGGAAGAATTTGAATAAGAATGATTACCGCCAGCTAGATGAAGAAGAATTTGCAGGCTGTCCTATTTTATCAGTGTTAAGAAAGCAGGCCATAGAGCAAATTACCAACGCTACAAGGAATCTGGACGTAAGAGACGACTATGCAGAGTTAAACGACATCTGCTTGAAGCTTTTGGGCGTCCGAACATCGAAAAAACTGCGTGTTATTGGTGCAATGAGCAAAGCCAGATGGATTTCAAGAGCGCTGTTGATTGGAAAAACGTACCTCCTGAGGGATCAACTTGATTTGAATGCCGAAACGATGAACAAATTGAGGAGAATTTGTATCTTCGTTTGCTGCCTATATACCAAATATTGGAACCGAGCCCCGAATGTTTTAGACGCTCCATTCAATGATCTCTGCTTTATGCAACAACTTCATATGTTTAAAGAGGTTGACGATGAAATAGCACTAATTGCAATAGATAGTATGAGGGAACATCTGTGGTATCTTGGCAGTGAATTAATCGTGCTTTCATTATTTTCAAATAAAGTAACAACAGCTACTAAGAACAAAATGCGTCAAAGAATTCAAAGAGACGTGACAGATCGTGATCAAAATTCCTTGAAATTTTTCATGGATGAGTCTACTGATTTTGGTGATTTGGATTTGGAGTATTTTATCTCGGGACGATCTAACTTCTTATTCCAGCTGCTTCAAGTAATACCAAACTTTCTCGAACATGATGCGGCGACATGGGAATATTATCTATCTTATCAAAGCATAAAAAATATGATAGAACAATCAATTACAGTTGTGAATGATGGCACCGAGAGGTTTCTTGGAATTTCTGGAGACATCATCAAGTCACAAAGGGCTCGGAAGGAGCACTACTTCAAGGACTTAGCATTTTCCAAATTTGACAAAAATAGACGTTCTGTTGCTTTTTGATCAATAAATGCATGCAAAATTTATTCCATTAACTTTTTTTTATACCTATTTCTTGACTAAAATGTGGTTTGATTTCCTGTATACTTCTTGATTTCATAATCATTCGTCATTTAACAAGACTCGAGTTTTTAGCTTCATTTCACATTCACATCCAGTTGAAAAAACTGCGACGATACACAAATGTGAAGACATCGACAGAAATGACATTTAATTTTTTATTTGTACATTACGCAAAAATTAGTGCAGAATTTAAATCCACGAGAATAATAGAGAAAATGAGAGTTGGGAATAAGCGGAATTCCAAAGAAAGTTGTATCGACACAACACAAGATTTTAATCTATTCTAAACACTATCCATAGTTCACAAAAAAAATGTGCGAAATTCATTCGAAATAGGTCAACCACTAATGACGAAACATGAAATATGTATTGTTTTGAAAATCTGTTTCCTTTGTCTTCGACTTTTTTATCTAATTTGACCAACAACTGAATAATAAAAAAAACCGAATGTGAAAATGCACCGATTTTATTTTTTGGCGTAAGCGGCTTCCTGCTGCATATACTTTAAATATATGTAAAGTTGAAAGTATTTTGAAAAATCCAAGTGTCAGAAGATATTCATTTTAATATGGACAAAAACTCGCAAAATGTTGGTTAATTTTCAGCCCAAAATGAATCTAATTTCAGTTTTATATTGGTTTGATATCGGTTTGAATAATAGAAAAAAATGAGTCATCGCGTATAGGTTACACTTCAGTTATTTTTTGGTGATTTCTCCATAACAAAGGCCATCCGCGGAAAGAAAATATTCTGGTTGAAGTTTCCGTTCATTTTACTGTCCAAAAACCATATGTTCATATACGGTTAAAAAAAACGGAACACCCTAGTGCTCATTCAGCTTCCTAATTGGTAGCAAATCTCAATGATGTCTTTTGTCTGACTTTTTCCAATGTTCTCGCTCGATCTATCCTCTCCGTTTACAGTTACAATGTTTTGAAGGTCTGTCTTGAGTTCCAATTGTGATAGATTCCGAGAGAGATTGTTCAATGTGAAATGTGTGTTTGTTTCTTTTCTCGATTTAGATTGAAAGCAGATGCTTCGAGATTTTTCAATTTCGAATCCGGTGTTTTTGATTCGGGTGGCGACGCCGATGCTTACAACGGCGATGAATCGTCCACATCGAACAGTATGTTAAATAAAATCCAACAACAACAACCGAACCAAAGGCCTTCAACTTTACAGCAAAATCGACGACCGCATCCACGTACGCGATTCTTTGCCATATCGGCTGCCAAAAATGTACATAGCTCAATCGGTAGCGGTAATATTTTAAGTTTTAATCGGAATCGCAAAGGTTGCATATCGAAATCGGCCGATGTAATCACACCAAACAACGGATTTGTGTCCATTTCTTTGCTGTTCGTTGGACTCAAAAGTCCTCAAAAATAGACAGAAAAAGTGACCGTAATCGTAAATGATATTGTGAAGCGGAAGAAGGATTACAAGTTAAAGCGGCGAACGGTGAACGAATGGAAATCAAACATACCTGCGACCTAAAGTGCGTGATAAACAACCAAATGAATTTCATATTAAGTGATGTTCAGTACATTCCGGAGATTATGTAAATGTAAATGTTTATTAACGTATGATAAATTGGTTCACAATGGTTGTATTTGACATGGTAGGATTCAATGAGATTCAGTCCAATGGACTTTGCAGCATAGTGACAAGTTATGTTTCTTTCGAATGATTTGTTTGTTTGTTTTGTTTGGTTGATTTTTGTGTTGTGGAAAATCGCTAAAGTTAAAACCACAATTTGATGGTGTTTTTGATTTTAAAGTTTTTTTTTTGGGTTTTTTGTTTTTGGTTTTGAATTAAATAAATAAATATAAT